GGGGCTGGGGACAAACTGCAACCGAGGTACGTGCCCTTAGTGGGAACCGAACCAGGGTCTCTCTAGACCGCAGGTTGATGCTCTAACCGCTGAGCCAAACCAGCCAGGGCTTGTTCTGTTTTTTATTGTGGTAAGATATACAAAAAATTTTCCAGCGTGACCATTTTCAAGTGTACACTTCAGTGGCATTAAAGACATTCCATTGTTGTGCAACTATCAGCAGGACATTGTCATCTGCCAGCTGAAACTATGCCAGTTAAACACCATCTCCTGTCCTCTACCCTCCCCCAGCCCCTGGCAACTACGCTGCACTCTGTCTCTGCGAATCTGACTGTTCTCGGTACCGGCTGCAAGTGGAGTCACACACCGTTTGTCCTTTGGTGACCGGCGTACTTCACTTAGCATGATGTTCATGCCATAGCATGTGTCCGCGTTTCATTCCTTCTTACGGCCCAACAGTATTCCACTGTAGGCGTGTGCCACATTCGCTGACCCGCTCACCCACCAGTGGACACGTGGGTGCCTCCACCCTTCGGCTGCGTAAGTAATGCTGTAACGCACACGGGTGTACAACCGTCTGTCCGTCCCGTTCAGGTACAGGACTGAAGGCCTCGGTTCCTTCCCACACACCCGGCCCCTCCAGAGTGCTGCTCACACGGCAGCGCGCCTCCCCGGCATGAGAGAGACACTGGACCCAGGAGGAAGCCACAGTCCTTTCGTAACATAATCTCGAAGTGACAAGCCATTACTTCTGCCGTTCTGTTCATGAGAAGCCCCTTACTAAACCCAGCCCACACTCCAGGGGAGACGTTTTAGAGACTGCCTATCACTGCCGGAATCTTGACTCTAGTAAGCAGTGGGTCTGCGGTGCAGGGAGCTATATAAAGGACTATCTAGCCCGGGCTGGTTTGGCTCAGCGGTAGAGCATCGGCCCGTGGACCAATGAGTCACGGGTTTGATTCCAGCCAAGGGCACGTACTTTGCCGTTCGTCCCCGGCCCTGGTCAGGGTGTCCCTCTCACATTGATGTTTCTCTCTCTCCCCCCAACTCTGTCCGAAGATAAATAGAAAAATATCCTTGGGTGAGGATTAAAAAAAGAAGAAGAAGAAGAATATCTAGAGGAGGCCTTTAACTCTGGATTTATGTGGATGACAAAAAAAAAAGTTTTGAGATTAACAACCCCAAACCCAGAATGAGAAATACAATCTACTACACATGATCATAACTGCACTTCTATACGTCTGATGCTGCTGTCCAGTGGGACTCTGAACTTCACCTGCCGGTTCTTCCCTAACTGCAGAGCTGATGACTGTCTGCACACGACACGCCTTCGTCAGTCCAGCCCGCCACACACCGGCTCCTCCAGTCTATACAGACCAGCCTCCAATGCCTGCTGGCCACTCGGGCCCAGCCCACCTGTCCTGGACCTCATTTCCCAACTTGACCTCAGGGCTGTGCACCCTCAGCCTCTGTGTCAATCTTAATCCCTCTTTCTCCAGCTCTGATCCCACCTGTCCCAACCCTCTCAATGCTGACCCCTCCAATGGATGCGCATCACCCCAGGCTCAGGCCTGGGGAGGCCACACCAGCTCCAGTGATGAGACTAAGAAGCGTGAGATCTGCCCGGCCTTTTCCCGCATTCAGGGACTGCCCCCCTTTGGGTTCAGTCTACTTATCTCTTCATCCAAGCGCTATTGCTCCTCTGTTCTCAGGCTGAAATACACTTTCTTTGGAGCTCACAGTCACTTCCCAAACATGGTCCCTAACGGGATGCTTTGGACCGAGACATGGATCCCCATATACTTTCTAAGTCACAGCACTAATATCTCCTTCCCACAACCAATTTTCACCACTATCAAGTACTGCATAAACTACTTATTTTGAGAGTATTTTGAGAATTACAAAGTAGCCTCCTCTTTTAAATTATTATAATGTCCATTTTACAGATGAGACTACTGAGGCTCAGAGAGGTTAAGAGAACTGCCTCAGGTCACACAGTTAAAAGAGGACAGTGACAGAACAACTCCATGTATTACTATTGAGTTTCCAGGATGTCATGACTGGTTTCTGGTTTTTTTTAGGCTGAAAGCCTGGTGGGATAACCACAATGTAGAGGAAGCCACCTTTCCTATTCTGTTTGGGACTCACCCAACACAACCATCTCCCCGTCCACCGCCCAGGACAGCCCACGCTCAGCGGATGGAATGCCTGTGATCCTGTATCCCTGCGGCACCGACCCAGCCCTCTCGCGCCTTCGCTGAAACCACCGGAGGAAGACATCCGACCCAAGCAGAGCTAGTGAGGTTGCCTGTCTTAGGTGTTTGGAACTGGGGCACTGAAAAGCAAAGGCACTCAGATGGCGGAACCGCAAGGTCATACGGAGACGGGGCTAGAGTCAGTGGCCTGGCAAGTCAGTTATGTGGAAGCCAGGATGTAGGAGTCGTGTGCTGGTTAAGAGCCCAGGCTGTGGAGGCAGGTGGTGTGGTTTGTTTGAATCCACTTACTAGCTGCAGGATTCAGGGCAAGTTGCTTAACCTTTCGGTGACTCAGTTTTCTCACCTGTAAAATGGGGAATGAATAGCACTCAGCTCACCGTCATGATCTCGAAGTGAGTTAACACACACCAAGGTGCAGCGTGTGCACCCAGCTCACGCTAGGAACTGCCGGCGGGCATTATCCCAGAGGCGAGGAGGCGCCCAGGAGACCCCCAGACGGAGCGGCTCCCCATGTCCTTCCAGGTCCCCGCAGGCCTGCCCGGACTCGGAGCACTTTATTTCCTCCACAGAAAGGTCAGAGGAGCAGTTCTAGGGCACTTTACCAAATTCAATCCTCACCTCACACGGAAAGACTCTTTAAAATGACACACCAGCCCAGCCGGTGTGGCTCAGTGGATTGAGTGTCTTCCCATGGACTGAGAGGTCCCAGTTCCATTCCCCATCAGGGCCTGTGCCTGGGTTGAGGGCTTGACCCCCAGTAGGGGGCGTGCAGGAGGAAGCCGATTGATGTTTCGCTCTTACTCTGATGTTTCTCTCTCTCTCTCTTCCTTCCTCGCTCTCTAAAAAAAAAAAAAAATCAATAAAACATTTATTTTTTTTTATTATCATTTTTTTTGTGTTTTTTTTTTGTTTTTTGTTTTTTATCCTCACCCGAGGACATTTTTCCATTTTTTGTTCAGGTAGAGCGGGAGGGAGAGAGAGGAAGAGAGAGAGAGAGAGAGAGAGAGAGAAACATCGACGTGAAGGGACACATCGAGTGGCTGCCACCCGCATGACCGACCAGGGCCAGGGACAAACTGCAACTGAGGTACGTGCCCTTAGTGGGAACCGAACCTGGGTCTCTCTGTACCGCAGGCCGACGCTCTAACCGCTGAGCCAAACCGGCCAGGGCAAAAAAATAAAACATTTAAAAAAATGATACACCACATTCATTTGGACATTTTATTCTTTTTATTGCAAATTTCTGGTAAAGGAAAGAACACGGAAGCTGATTCTCATTTAAACTTTGGTGATAAGAGTAGGCTCACAACCCCCCAGGACGTGAATCGGCGGGGCCTTTGATACACACTGACGCCTGCGTCCCCCCTTCCAGCGGTTCTGACTGAATGGGGGTGGGGGTGGGGGCGGCCCTGGCGCCAGTAGCTCTGTGAGCTCCCCAGGTGGTCGCGACAAGTAGCTCAGGACACGGAGCTGCAGCATCAGAAGCACCTGAGCAACTCAGCTGTCAGCCAAGCGCCACCTGCTCGCTGCACCCCTCGTCTCTGCCCCCCTCTCTCCTGGTGTCACTGAGCTGAGTCCTCCTCTTCAGGGACCCCAGAGGACAGAGACGCTGGAGGGGCATGGCTCTCTGTGCCGTGGCTTGTGCTTTAACCCTGGAGAACTGAACCAAACATGGGATCTCTCCCACAAAAAGAAATCCACTTCTCATTGCCAGAGAGCACTGACCTTTTTCACTGTTAAGTGGACATAGTCTTGAGATGCAAAAGTTTGTGACAAAATACGGAAATATGTGTCGGATGACATATTCCTTAGATGATTTCTCAGGTCCAAATGAAAAGAAATCTTTTTGTCAAGCCATTGAGGGTAAAACATTATGTACTTCAGCGGCACATTTCAGATGGGTAAACAGTAACAGCCAGTTAGATATTCCATTTGTGATTTATCCTAAAAATAGAAAACACTTTGATTTTCCTGAGTCCTCAGCAAACACAAAAGAATGTCTTTAAAAATTTGTAAGTATTCCTGTTTTCTTTCTTTCTCTGGGCACACTCACAGTTTAGACCGGCGCGGGTCTCATTCCCGGTTTGCACACACAGGCGAACAGAGCCCAGGGGCCAGGAGTCAAGACTAACCCAACACAGCGACCGAAAGCAAACCCATCATCTGCAGAGCTGCTCAAAACGAACGTTTCTGGACAGTGTTACAAATGCAGTATCAATTTGATTCTCTGCTCATACAAAAGTACGAATTTCTATTTCATTAATAATACTGAATGGTTAATGTCTTAACAGCGATAAAATTTAGAATTTAAAAAATACATAGGATCCCGTTTTTACATCATAATTCTGATATATTATCTTGCTTCTACTTTGTCCATAAAACTCTTGTAGGATACAGTGCATTGACGTGATAAAACCAAGGCACAAGAATACAGTAAGTGTATATAAACCTTGGCACTGTGTGCCAGTTACGGAAACATTTAGAGAAGAGATCATAAAGCCTGAAAAATGCTCTCACATCCTATTACGATTAATGAACAATTGTGCAATAAATGGACTATTAACCACCATTTCATTGTTAAATATATGGCTATCACTATACAGGCTGTGGATAATTGAAAAAAGGTTTTCAATATTAAAACCTGGTATAACTAGGTGGTCAACGTAGATAGTGTGCCTGGCATTATCTAGATATTGTCTTAAGTTTCCATTTAAATTTTCCATTTAGATGGCAGTTATCAATTTTTAAGCTATTTTCATTATATAAGTGGTGGAGGGTTTTTCCAAATGTTAAGTCCCTTCCCCCTACAAAAGACAGAAGATTTACAAGAAGATAACCAATGTAAGAAATGCACAGACAATAATAAAATCCAAATAGGGACTCAAAGGTTGAATTCTAATCCATCAGGACTTTCTCTTAATTTAGGGTGAGGAGCAACACATTTCTGTAGCAATTCATTAGTTTCTTAATTTAAAAAATCACCATGACATTTTCAAAATAGTAAGGTCTTGGCTAGAGCCCCAGCATCGAAGGAAAATTAAGTCTTTTCATCCATAAAATGAAGGAGATAAACCTTCATAAAGCCTTTCCAAATTGGGGAGGAAGAAAGGATATCCCACTGAATTTAGAGGAGTGGAATAAAGTGGTAAAATTTGTATTTAATACTTTTAAAGACAGAGTGTTTTCAAGACTCAAGGTAAACATGTAGACCCATGAGGACACATCTCTTGGCACATGCACACCATAAACAGAACAACCCCAAATGCCACGGCAACCTGGCTACAGAGGTATCCGGCTCCCAGACCCACTGGCGAAACCACCCTGACGTCCTTGTCCCCGCTCCCTTCACATGGGCGCTTCCGGCTTCTGCAGCTGTTGGATTTGCTTCTGTAGCTGGTCCTTGTCCAGTTTCATCTTGGCCTCGAGAACTTGCCTGAGGGATCCTATGCTTTCATAGATGGCTGTAAACCCTTTAAGAAGAGGTAATTCCACAAGTTATATTTAAAAACAATGCTGTATCAAATTCTACAGCATGTCATAGTTGATTTGGGCAAAAATTATCAATAGATGCTAAAACTATGGGAGTAAAACTTTGACAGGAAAACAGGATAATCACAGAGTTTCATAGTTATCTCTCTACAGATCAGTTTTGTTGTTGTTGTTAATCCTCACCCAAGGGTGTTTTCCATTGATTTTTAGATAGAGTGGGAGGGAGGGAGAGAGAAGGATAGAGATAGTTAGATAGATAGATAGATAGATAGATAGATAGATAGATAGATAGATAGATAGATAGATAGATAAAAAGAAAGAGAGAGAGAGAGAAACATCTATGTGAGAGAGACACATGGATGGGTTGACTGCTGAGATTGGACTGGGGATTGAACCTGCAACCCAGGTACATACCCTGGACCATGAATCGAACCCAAGAACCTTCAGTCCATGGACCTACACACCTACACTAACCGCTGAGCAAAACCAGCCAGGGCAAGATTACTTCTCAGTTATAAAGAGGGAAAGGAACTATCACCATGGAGAAACCTGGCAGTTCCACTTTAACTAAGTGGTCAGAGCTAACTCACCAACACTGGGAGAGACCAACACCACGTACCCCTGATGAGGCACCCTGGGAAGGACACATCCCAAACCTACAACCTGAATCTAATTGAGAGGAAGCAAACAGACCCGAACTGTGAGACATTCCACAAAATACCGGCCTGTGTTCTTTAATAACATCAGCATCACCAAGGAACTGATCCATATTAAAAGAGATTAATAAAGAAGCATGATAACTAATATGATGTGTGATTCCAGTTAGAACCTAGACCAGGGAAGGTTTGCTATGCAGCAAACAATGGTGAAAGCTGAAAACTGAATACTGAAAAAGATTTCATCAATATTATACTGCACTATAGTCATTTAAGAGAATGTCCGTGTTCTTAGGGTACATGGATTGAAGTAATAAAGGGATAAAAAGGCATCATAAAGTCTGCAATGTACTTCCAAATGATTTAGAAAAAATTATATTCGTGCACACACACATACAAACACAGAAAGAGAATCAGCAAATTTCCAAAATATTAACAATTAATCTAGATGAAAGGTATATAGAGTTTTTAAACTGTTCTTACATAGTTTTTCTAAATTTGAAATTATTTCAAAATAGAAAGATAGAAAATGAAAAACCCTATCGAAACAGCATTCCATACACTCTGTATTCCTACTGGTGTTTAAAACCAACGTCTGAAAGATCTTTATAAGTAAATTTAGAATTTCCTCTCAAAATATTTTCAAGAGGCAATTCATGAAAAACAGGTATGAACATTACTTATTAAAATTCTGTTCTTATGGAATGGAAAGGTATAACATATTACTGAATGAAGAGTAGGTTATAAATCAGTATGCAAAGCATGAGTTTTCATTTGAAAAAGCACATATATGTATATCCTACATGTACAGAAAGATATACATAGAAATGACCTTTGGGTGAAAGAAGGTATGAGTATTTTAAAAAATATTTTGTGCTTTATGATTTTCCATTAAGAAATGTATTGATTTTGTAAGAAAAAAATAAATATTTTTAATTTTAAAAAGGTTCATATGCATTTATTGTTAGGTACTAAATATTAGAAATCTCAATGGTATGTTGATTAGATGATAATAAATTCACTCAGGAAATGATGCAAAGTTTAAAAAATATCATATTCTAATAGCCCAAAAGACCAAGAAAAAAAATTCATTTTTATCTCTACAAGTTCCTCAACTTATACATTTTACTGTGGTTTCTACTTAAATAAAATAATAAACCTTGGTAGTAAAAACAAAATTATTCTTGGGATAACTAAGTACTTTGATCTTCATGGGCCAAAATACAATTGCACAGAAGGAAAGTATGGAGTCGTGGAAGTAGGAGGAGCTGGGAGGTAACTTAGTCCCCTTCTCACACTCCAGGACTCTTTTCTCTTTCCTGACCCTGATCAGCCAGCTTCCCCCTGAACACTTGCCGTGACAAAGAGCCCCCAAGCTCACCAAGACCCCAGTGTCTTTTTAGGACCGGTTAACTGAGGATACAGCGAGTCCTCACGTAACGATCTGTTCTGCGACTTGAAGCAAAACAACGATAACAAAACCAACTTTCCCACAGGCGAACTGACAAGAGTGCGTCCCTAGGGCAGCGCATCAACACCGGAACGAAACGATGCTGAACGGAACGGCTCCGTCCGAGGACCTGCTGTACTTCTGCCTCAGATCGAGTTAAAATCCACCTTCAGGTAATTTTCACGTCCTGGCTCCAGTTCTGTATTCCTGACTCAGTGTAAATCTAATCCCTCCTTTCAAGACAGCATGTCAGAACCTGAAGTCAGCTCTAACATTTTCTTCTAGACAAGGGTGAGTTAATGGGCCCTGACCTCGAGAATAGGCAAACCATCATTGCCATGGGGCTCTACCTCCAGCAGCATAAAGTGGAGCCTTCCAAGGCCCCTGAAAGATACGTGCTCATTAGGAGACCTACTGACCCTGGCTACGGACAGAAAAGAATCCGCAGACGGCGCTACACAAAGCGCACATCAGTGGCAAGCTAAGCCGTTCTCATTGTTCGCCTGTCCCTCGTGGTGGCTCTCCGTGTACTTGGAATTAAATCAGTGTTTCACTTCAACACAGCATTGCTACTCAGAAAACCACTGAAGGACATTTCACTGGAATCACCATTAGCTGGGTTCATAGGCAGCTGTAGGGGAACACTGACTAAGCGGATTTTAGATTGAAGAGAAAATAAACCGCGAGCTGTTTTCTTTTCGGCCTACCAGCGTCAACCTCTGCTTTCATGTCCTTCATGTCCTCACTCAGCTGCAGCTCCAGCTTGCTGAGTCGCCCGTGCACCTTCTCCTCATCTTGTTTTGTTCTCTGCACTTCCATGTGCTTCTTCTGACTCTCTTCTATTTTGTCCAGTCTGGCTGACATCTGGCCGAGCTTCTTCTCCATGTCCCTTTCACTGGCTCCCTGAGATCCACAGAATTGCACTCAGTTACTCCGAAAAGAAAGTCTGCACGGCATTTGCATTTAACAACAGTCTGCAGGGAACAGAATCGCAGAGGCTGCTTGTTGATCACCCTCATATCCATTATCCTTTTCTTCCTTAACAGACCTCCCATTTACACCTGCGTATAAGGTCACCCAGAATAAAGGTGACATTTTCGCCCAGCTGGTGTGGCTCAGTGGTTGAGCATCGACCCATGCACCAAGAGGTCTCCGGTTCGATTCCTGGTCAGGGCACATGCCCAGGTTGTGGGTCAAATCCCCAGTGGGGGGCATGCAGGAGGTGGCCAGTCAATGTTCTCTCTCATCGATGTTTCTATCCCTCTCCCTTTCTCTCTCTCTCTCAAATCAATAAATAAAAAAATAAATAAAAATTAAAAAGGTGACATTTTCAATTGTCCCCTGAGTTGGGGGTAGTCATATGATTGAGTTGTGGCCAATGAGATGCAAGTTCAAATGTATGTTAAAAGACAGCTGAGGCATACCTACCCTTACCCTTTCCGTCTCCTTTTTTGGAATTCAGACATAATGACTGGAGCTCTAGCAACCTCCCTGAACTATGAGGACAAGCAATACAACACAGCTACTTAGAAAACCACCTGAGGATATTTCACTGTTATTACCAGGATCCTGGATCGCTGATGAGGACTACCACATCAGCCCAGCAATTCCTACACCCAGGCATCGTCTATGTGGAAGGGAAATATGCTGCTATCTTAGTAAACCACATCATCCTGGGTTTATTAATCATTAGACCAATCCACATGTAAACATAACAGTGAGCCAAAGACCCAGAGCCTACGAATGTATTCACATGAATCTAAGTAAATCAATCAGTAGATCTGATAAAAATGTGGAGGGCACCTAAAGAAATATTTGATACAATAAATATTTCCTTCCTTTCCCTTCTTTTTCCTTTTCTTTCCACCAGGCTTCATTTGTGTGGGAATCTGTGTCTGCAGGTGAGCTCTGGAGGCCAGGACGACAAATTCCCCGCTGTAAGTGGGCTGTGGGATGACAAAGCTCTCACGATGCTGTTGGTGCAGAATCTGCAGTTCAACAGCTGGGCATAGAGAGAACAGGGCCAGAGATGCAAACTGCACCAGTCACGTCCCCTCCGACAAAGTCCAACAGGAGGAGGCAGCGCACGAAAAGAGAAGAGGGAGGGAGACACTCAGGCTAAACAACCAAACCAAAGTTGCCTGCCAAGTACCCGTGCCAGTCTACTGGTTTTGAATACTATGTGTGCAAGCCTTTCTCAATGTGGTTTTGAGATGTTCTGTAAATCTTAGTCCTGTGGTAGAGTGGGGTACAAGGAAAAGGAAGCTGGAAAAGAAAACACTAGATTCTCTTCACATGCTGCACCATGACATCTCACACTCGGTATTAGTGTGATCGAGGAGCTTGGAGGGAGAAATCTGGTCAACACTGTTTATACCAGATCATGAAAGTAAAATAAGTTAGGTTGGCCCTGGCCGGTTTGGCTCAGTGGTTGGAGCGTCAGCCTGCTGACCAGAGAGTCCCGGGTTCGGTTCCAGCTAGGGGCACGTACCAAAAAAATAAATAACTAAATAAGGTAGGTTGAAGTACATAATTGTTTGTTTTACCTATTTATTAAAAAATTATTTTTGTTTATTGATTTTAGAGAGGAAGGAAGAAGGAGAGAGAGATAGAAACATCGACTGGCCATCTCTTGCATGCCCCCACTGGGGATTTGACCCACAACCTGGGCATGTGTCCTGACTGGGAATCGAACCAGCGACCTACTGGTACATGGGTCAATGCTCAACCACTGAGCCACACCGGCTGGGCTGTTTGTTTTATTTATAAAAGCAGGTGGATATTTCGTTCATTAAGGTCTTCACTTAAACTCCTCTTAGCTGAAAGTATTAAAATTTTCTACTTAGCCTTTGTTAAATCAAAACAAATCAAAGTGCTCCATTTCTTTATAACAAACACAGAGAATCAATATGAACTATAGAAATGGATTCTATGGCAAGATACAATGGGACAGATAAATATGCTGCTAAATAAATCAATGATAAATTACTGGGATTTACTCAAATATTGCAGACCTCCATCAAATAATTTCAGCATGTTATTGCTAAACATCAATACCTACAATATTTTCCTTAACAACCAAGGAAAGCTGGTCAATTTTCTGTAAAAGCTCTTTTTCTGTCCGTTCTTGTTCCTGTTGCAACCAATTCCGTGCAGATAAAATCTGGTTGCTGAGTTCCTCAATTGTACCTTTAAATCTAAAATAAAAGAGTCAGCAAGTTAGATGCAAAACAATTTAAAAATGACCTCAGTCTCTGGCTATCAAATTTCTCATAAATATGTCAGCTTTAAACTGAGCTCACTCAGAATTACATGCTTACCTTTTCTTAGCATTGCACTTAGCACTATTTTGGAAAGGGGGGAGGGGAAGAGGATAAAATAGAGAAGCACCTGATAATACTTCCTACCCGTGAAAAGCTGACAGTATGGGTACTGAGGTGTCACAGAGTCACACAAAGCCACACCAAGTTGTAATCTTTGCAGTCCAGACGGCCCCCTAGGGCTCCGGGCTCAGAGAACACTGTTCTGGTTCCCCTCCAACCTCCCCTATTTTCCTCCTTCTCCCTTTTATCTCCCAAAACTGGAGCGTGGCTCCCTTTCTCGTAAATGTTCTAAAATTTTCTCTTGCCTCCATACAGATGTTTTCTAATTTAAATCAAAAAGAAAATTAAAAGAAAAAAAATAACCCAATTCTCCATTCCTCTGGTCCTCTCCCTTTCCAAATACCTTAAAATAACACTTCACGCTTGCTGCTTTCCCTTAATTAATTTTATTATTTTTATTATGAAATATACAAAAGAATATATGTGAGAAAAGAACATAAATGTTAACAATAAAATAAACACCCATTGTGGTAAAAAACCCTAATTATCTGCAGTATCTGTTTGCCTCCTCTTTCCTATTAAGACATCCTCAAATGTCAGCTGGGTACATGGCCCCCTAGCCAGAGACTACATTTCCCAGCCTTCTTTACAGTTAGGTGTGGTCACATGACTAAGGCGCGTAATGGGACACATGTAGAAGTGGTAAGTACAACTTCCTGGTCATTAAAAGTAAAGCTCTTCGGACTGACCTGGACAGGAAGCCAAGCCGGCAGCACCCCTGACTGTGGAGCACAACCTGCAGCCTGTCTGACCGGGAAGACGTCCAGAACATAGCAGCTTTACTAAATTCATTTATTCTAACAGTTTTTTTGTATAGTCTTTATTGAGTTTTCTATATAGAAGATCATGCCATCTGCAAACAGGAATAATTTTACTTCTTTTTCTCTGATTTCAGTGTCTTTTGTTTCTTTATCTCATGTAATTTCTCTGGCAAGGACTTCCAGAGAGCAGTACTATGATGAACAGAAGTGGTGAGAGTTGTTCTTGATTTAGAGGGAAAAGTTTCAGATATTCCTCACTGAGTACGATGTTAGCTGTGGGCTTGTGATATATGGCCTTTATTATGTTAAGGTACACTCCTTCGATACTCGTTTGTTGAGAGGTTTTTATCATGAAAAAATGTTGAAATGCTTCCTCCGCATCTATTGAGATGATCATAGGATTTTTATATTTCATTCTGTAATGTGGTGTATCATGTGAATTAATTAGTATGCATTGAACCATCCTTGCATCCCAGGAATAAATCCCATTTGATCATGGTATATGATCCTTTTAATGTACTGTTGAATTTCATTTGCTGGTATTTTGTTGAGAATTTGTGCATCTATGTTTATTGGGGATATTTTCTTATAGTGTTTATATGCAGCTTTGGCATCAGGGTAGTGCTGGCCTCATAAAATTAATTTGGAAGTGTTCCCTCCCCTTCAATTTTTTTGGATGAGTTTGAAAATGGCTGTCATTAATCATTCTTTAACTATTTGGTGGAATTCATCCATGAAGCCATTTGGTCCTGGGCTTCTATTTGTCAGGGTTTTTTTTTATTACTGATTTAATCTTCTTACTCATTACTGGTCTGTTCAGATTTTCTATTTCTTCATAATTCAGTCTTGGTAAGTTGTAGGTTTCCACAAATTCACTAATTTTTTCCCCCTAGGTTATCCAATTTGTTGGCATATGATTGCTCATAGTAGTCTCTTATGATCCTTTGCATTTCTGTGGTATCAGCTATAATGTCTCCCCTTTTATTTATAATTCTATTTGTCTGAGTCTTCTTTCTTTTTTTCTTGGTTAGCCTAGCTAATGTTTTGTCTATTTGGCTTATATTTCAAACAAACTGACAATTAGTTTTGCTTATTTTTCCCATTTTTTTATTGTTCTAGTCTGTGTTTCATTTATTTCTAGTTTAAGCTTTATTATTTCTTTCCTTCTGCTATCTTTAAGATTTATTTGTTATTCTTTTTCTAATTCCTTGAGGTATAAAGTTCAGTTGTTTATTTGATATCTTTCTTTTTTCATAATGTAGACATTTATCATTGTAAACTTTCCTCAGAACTGTTTTTGCTGAACCCCATACACTTTAGTATGTTGTGCTTCCATTTTCATTTATTTCAAGATTTAAAAATTTCCCTCTTGATCTTTGACATATTGATTATTCAAGAATGGGTTGTTGAATTTCCAGTTTTCCTCCTGTTATTGATTTCTCATTTTACATTATTATGGTTAAAAAAAAAAAAGATACTTGGTTTTATTTCCATCTTCTTCTTTTATTTTAAAAAATATATTTTTATTGATTTTTAGAGAGAGAGAGAAACATTGATGTGACAGAGAAACATCTATCAGCTGCCTCCTGCACACTCCCCACTGGGGATCAAGCCCGAAACCTGGGCATGTGCCCTGACTAGGAATTGAACCGGGACCTCTCAGTCCATGGGGCGATGCTCAATCCACTGAGCCACACTGGCCAGGCTATTTCAATCTTCTTTAATTTGTTAAGACTTGTTTTGTGGCCTAACATATGCTGTATGCTAGAGAATGTAGTGTGCACTTAAGAAGAATATATTTCCTGCTGCTGTTGGATGGAATGTTCTATACATGTTAGGTCTGTAGTTGGGCAGAACTGCTGTCCATGCTCTGAGGTAGTGGGGACCACTGGCTGGGCTCCCTGTCCAGGTTGGGCTACTGAATGGGCTGCATAGTCCTTTGGAGCCACTAACTGGGCTCTGCAATTCCCTCTGGCTGGGTGGGCTGTAGGCTGTGCTCCCTGGCAGGGTGGTGCCGCTGCTTGGACTCCACAATCGAGCAGGGCTGCAGGCTGGGCTCTGCAACTACACCTGGCTGGGTGGGGCTGTACCTCACAGGTGCACGGGGCTGGAAGCTGTACCTCACAGGTGCACGGGGCTGGAAGCTTTGTCCTGTGGTTGGGTGGAGCTGTCATCTGGGCTCCCCAGCCAGGTAAGGCCGCAGGCCATGCTCTGCTTTTGCGCAGGGCTGTTGGCTGGGTTCCCTGTCTGGGCAGGGCTGTGCTCAACAATCAGGTGGGGCCATAGGCTGAGCTCCCCTGGGATCATGTTCAGGCTCCCTGGTCAGAGGTTACAATGATTATTACATTCTGTAGAAGTTCTATTTGGTTGTTTAAATTCTGACTCATCATTTTTTATAATCTCTTATCCCTTAGTCATACTTTCAAAAATATGTGTGTGTATGTGTGTGAGCACTCATAAATACCTATATATATACATATATATACACGTACATACTTATATACATATATACATGTATACTTATGTTATCCAATAATTCCCATATATGTAGTATTCAGAAGTCTGATTCTGCTTTTTGCTGTTTCTTCTGACTCCATCAGTTATCTGGCTTTTCCCTTGTGTTGATTTATAATATTTGATTGAAAATTCATGTTCCTTAGGACTTTCTTTGTCTGTGGAAAGGCTTGAAGACTGAGGATTTGCATTTGCAAGGACTCTCAGACCAAATCAGGGTCATTCTAAGATAGTTATCCACTGTGGTTTCCTCCGAGCCACTTGGGTAATGTGAACTACAGTTCTAAATCCATACAAAGGTTGTGTTGTGATCCTGATATTCAAAAAATAGCTTTTACTCCTCTACCCAGAGCCAAGATGAGATAGGTACGTTTCCTTACAACCTCTTTGAGGGATGGGGTTTTCCTAGTTCATCCAATGGCTTTGTCTCCTTTCCTCTGTGAACAGCTTGTGTGTGGAGACTTCTGGACTTTAGGTTGTAGGAAGAAAAATAAAGATGTTCATGTCTGCTGACGAGTAATATCGCCTCAGGAAATAATTCACAGAAGAAAAAAAACCAAAACACTAAGATGTGTATTTTCTTCCTGTGTGATCAAAGAAAGAAGACTGGAGAGATCTTTCTGTACTTGGTCAGCTTATAGGTTCTATGAGAAATGTGACATAACTCAATAATTATATAAATACAGATAATCAGAGGAAAAGAAATGCAATTTTCAAGAGTAAAATCCTGTTAGATTGGCAACAACCCTGAAAGAGCATTAAACATGGAGGCAATGAGATGTGTGGACCAGGAGAAGGATTAATTTAAACTTTCCACAAGACTCTAACAAAGTTCCTCACTGCAGTCATCTTTAAAAGATGTACTGTCAAATATGCATTTATGTATTTATACACACACATGAGTACACACACATATACATAAATAGTCAATACTGGCTCTGCGTTGGCAGGAAAATGCCAAGCCCATGAGGCTCCGTGGCAGGAAAAGGTGTATGGTTTTGTGATTGAGCAGAAGAGCAGACGATGAACTTCACTGAGGGCAAGTACAGTTTAAAGGGTCACTGTAACAAAATGTGGAAGTATAACAAATTGTAGGGCACTGACTAGATAGCCCAGAATCACCCTAGTGCAGACCTCGTCCACCTGGACTGCTGAAACAGTGCCCCCTACTGATGTCTCCATCTCTGCTTCGGCTCCTTGGGATCCATTTCCAACTGCAATCGAGGCCATTGAAAAAGCTGTATATATATGTGTGTGTGAGTACAGTATATCATTTGGTTCTATGATTATATCATTTCATCTGCTTGAAATCTTCCAGTGGCTCCTCACTGCTGTAGTGATAGAAACGGAAAGTCCTGACGGGGGCCTACAAGGCCCTGCGAGCTCGCCCGCCGCCCTCCAGCCTCCCTCTGCTCCAGCCCTCACTCCCTGCTCTCCGTCCCAGGCGGCTTCGTCATTTGCGGTTTCCCTCCGCCGCCTTTCTCCATCCCGTGCGTTCCTACCTCCCTCTTTACCTAGCGAATCCCATTCATTCATTCGTCAGCTCTTACTCCAAACATCACCTCCTCAGGGAGGCCCCACGACCAGGCCTGTCATTCACTCTCGGAGCACCCTGTGGCTGCTGGGACACATGACCACACACTTGGTGGCTAAAAACAACACCTGTATTTTCTTATAGCTCTGAAGGCCAGAGGTCTGAAGCCAGGTTCACAGGACTAATGTTGACAAGTGAGCAGAAGTGGTTCCCTCTGGGGCTCTGCAGGAGAAGCGTTTTCCTGCCTTTTCAGCGTCCACCGTGCGCGGCCCCTTCCTGCATCGTCACAGCACATCACTCCAAATCGGCATCCGTGTCACACGGCTTCTCTCCGACTCTGACCTTCCTGCCTCCCTCTTATAGGAGTTCCATGGGTGACACCGGGTTTACCAAAATAACCCAGGATAATTTACACATTTTTAAATCTTAATCACATATGCAAAGTCCCTTTGTGCCATGCAAGGCGCCATATTCACAGGGGCTCCGTGGTGATATTGGGGGACCATTATTCAGCCTATCACACTGTGTCCCTTCCTGTCAAAGCACTTATCACCATTTGTATTAATACAGCAAATACTTATTGTAGTCATTACTTAATTCAGGCTCATCAACTCCCTGGACAGAAACCAACCACACAAGAATAAGAACAGAGTCTGTTTCTCTTCATTACTGATCCTCAGCACCTTGGCCAGTGCTCAGCTATTCACTGACTGAATGGATGGATGATTATCCAACCCCCAAAACCAAAAACTCGGAAGGGGAAGCGACAGCATGCTACATGGCCACATTTCCTCTGAGCGTCCGGTACTGTCTTCACTTTGTCTACGTAATAAGTAAAGACCAAGAGGGGAAAAAATGTAGTACTGAGTAAGTTCATGAAGAACTTACACCAAAGAATAAATAAATAAAAAAGCGCCTACGTTGCTGCTTACTTAGTGTCCAGGAGCTGGAGCTGGTGGTTGCTGTCTCTGTGGGACATCTTCAGTTTGGTGCTCTGCTCTGACATTGACAAGTCCACTCTGTTCAAAAGCTGAGAAATCTGGAAAAGAGACTTTGCTTGGAATGTCACATCAAACCTTTCCAGAGGTCATTTCAGAAAACAGTGAGTACGCCACAGTCTAGACGCCTGGCGTGAAGATGCAGTCCAAGTGAACACATTCGCTCAGGACCCCACCGCACTCTGCACCCCCGCACTCTGCACCCCCATGTCTCACACGCACCCTCGGGAAGCCCAGGCAGCAGCGCTGCAGTGTTCATCACGCACTGAGCACCTGACAGCTCTCTGATGAGCAAGCCCGGTGTCTGCCCAGGAACACGATTTCCACCTGCTGGCACAAAATACCGCCACTTCTATCCTAAAATGTCTAATGGTGCTGCTAGTCCCAGGGAATGGAATTCTGGCCCTGGCTGGTTTGGCTCAGCGGTTAGAGCATCAGCCTGCGGTCCTGAGAAACCTGGGTTCAGTTCCCGCTAAAGACATGTACCTTGGTTGCAGTTTGTCCCTGGCCCTGGTTGGTCGTGTGGGTGGCAGCCACTCAATGTGTCCCTTTCACGTTGATGTTTCTCACTCTTCCTCTCTCTCCCTCCCACTCTATCTGAACAAAAAAAAAAAAAAAGGAAAAATGTCCTTGGGTGAGGATGAAAAAAAAAGAATGGAATTCTTATCACTTACAAAATCCATTAAGGTCCCAGATTTACCTCCGTATTGTTTAGTCACCAGAAAATATAATTTGTAAACCTCATCCCCCAACTCCCTTCTCCCACTGCCCACCCATTTCCCTTATCTTTTTACTAACATTTAACTGAAAACTAGTGCTATATAAAATGTCTCTATTTTCTGCAATTATGATGTTCAATGTTCCTTAAAGATTCAGGGAACAAGATTTATCAGATCCAGAACAAAGAGAAAAAGCATATCCCCTTTCATGGATTTCTAGACGTACTATACTTGGCTTGGCTACCAGAAAGCTAATATTTCCTTAGCATTTATTTTCTGGTGTAATAATTCTATCCTCACTCAATCTTTGATCAAAACAATTAGACTTGTCATTTTAGTCTTCCTTCCGTAGTTTTATAATGTCTGTGTTTTTCACACCAGCAGATTTGGATACTTATTGGACGCGGTTAGGACACAAGTATTTTTAATCCAGTACGTTGACTTGTTTTACAGGAACGGTCCCTCTTTGGGTGAAGAGGAGCAAGTAGAGCACATACTATGGGGAAAGTCCTAGAAAGACCGGCCCCATGATGGCAAAGGGAGTGCTTTCAGTGCCCAAACACAAACTTGGAAATGCCGAGAATGCTGCTTTCTCTAACTAATCTCCGAATTTCAAGGTGGGATGCCCTAAACACCCCCCGCCAGCCTATCCTGTGGCGCTGTCCTAATGCCTTCCCACGTACGGACGATGGGATGCGGTAGCACGTATGATGAGTCCCAGCGCACACAGCAACCTTTCCCCGAACCCAAATGGGAATGACCGGCATGTCAAGGGATGCTGGCCACTTACCTGTGCAAGAGGTCGTGTGGGAGTTATAATTTAGAATTTATGCAATAATTAATTGTTTTAAGAATGGGGGGAAAGAATCTTTGAAATAAGGACTGCACTGAAAAATCTCGGTGGTTTGGTTGCCATGTTCATGAAGCGCCGCTCCAGTGATATGGAAGGAAGGAAGAAGCTAAGAAAAGAGATGGTGCTTATCTGAGGTGCCCTAGCTAGTTTCTCCTGTAAGGGACAGTCAGCCCCATGTTATTCTGATCTAAGAACAATGACCACTTTTATTTATTTATTTTTTAAATATGTTTTTATTGACTTTTTAGAGAGAGAGATAGAAACATTGATGAGAGAGAAACCTTGATCGGCTGCTTCCTGCACACCCCCCCCCCCCCGCCCCTGAGGATCGAGCCCACAACCCAGGCATGTGCCCTGACTGGGATTTGAACCGGGACCTCTCAGTCCATGGGACGATGCTCAGTCCACTGAGCCACACCGGCTGGGCCAAGGACCACTTTTAAACGGCTACCTGAAACAGGCCATACCTGTCCCTCCGCGTCTTTGATTTTTGTTTCCAAGATGAGTTTGGCCGCTTGCTGTTCTTTGTTCAGGTGCTGAAGCCCCTCGTAGGTTGTTTTGTGCTCTGCGGAGAGTCTGGCTATGCTGGCGTCACATCTGTCCAGGCAAACAACAAAGCCCGTTCTCAGTGAAGCTGAACAAGTGCTAAGGCTTCCTTCCCTGCTACAAACGGCACGGCCCCACTCAAAGGCACTGCACGACGAGGTTCGATGAATCCGGGAGCTGCCCTCATTATGGTTTCCAAGTTCAACCACAGGGATGTGCTTAATAAGACTTGAGACGTAACCATCAAAGGGGCGAAGGCTTTACAGTGCTCGCGACTACAGGAGCGAATGTGTGGTGAGAGCCCAAAACGTTAACAGTGCGCGTGGATGCGGCCTCTCCTTCTCCAGAGGCACCTCCGCCCTTCAAGTTTGGGGCCTCTTTGAATTTTGGAGGCAATTTCTACCACACTTGAAATGCTCCTCTTAACCTTTTACCAAACCACCTATAAGGCTGTATGCTTTGAGGGTGGCCAGAGCAGGGGGCCCCAGGAAGTGGCTCTGCCCCTGGGGCCCTACAACCTGGCAGTTCCACGGTGTTCAAAGTATCGGCGGCAGATAAGCTGTGCGTAAGCCTTTGTCCAGACCTAACAGGAGGAGTCACAGAATGGACCCCCAGGGATTTAGAACAAAGTCACCCCTGTTCCAACACCATCAGCCCTGCCTTGAGAAGAAGCTGCTGGCTTGCTACTGGGCTCTGGTAGAGACGGCAAGCCGAGTCCCGGGACATGAAGTGACCATGCCATCTGGGCAGTCCGTCATGAACACCAGGCCATACACGTGGCCCTGAGCAGTACTCCAGCTTCAAGGGGGCATCAAGCTTGAACAGGTCATCAAGGCATAAGTCAGCGACATGAGCCCAGATGCCCACGGCATCTAGCCCTGCTCCTGTACCAGCTCTCCTTCAAGTCACACCTGTGGCCTCTGGAGGAGTTTTCTGATGACCAAGTGGACTGAGGGAGAAAAAGTCAGGTCTGATTTACAGATAGTCACACCCAATAGGTTGGCACCATCTAGAAGGATGCTGACACTTAAAAGCCCACTCAGGACAGGTCCTAAGGGTGTTATAGAAGCAGTTGTATGAGTGGAGTGGGTCACTCATAATGGACATAGCCTTTTGCTCCTGGTGAGGGCTCTCTGTACATCACCGGGGCAGAAGCCCCAAGCCCACTTCCCGCCCTCCCTTCCTAGCAGGTTCAGATCCCACCCGTGGGAGGCATCGCGCAAGATGTGGAAGGAAGGAGAGGGGAGCCCTTATTCTCCTCTGGCAGCAGTGGGCAGGCAGGTGCACGGGCAAAACGCCGCACCCAGCACACTCCTGAAAACCTCTCGCGTCCGTGGGCAGCTAAGATTATCAATGGCCCCTGTCTGTGATCCCCACACTTCCTATTTTCCCGAAAGCTCGTCGGTCTCCTGCCCTTTGCTGCCCCCAGTCTTCCGATGATTTTGCAGGCTGTGCTGTTCTGTAAGAAATCGCTTCCTGCTCACACTTAAGAGTGTTCTCTGTTTCCTCGAGTGAACCTTGATGCACACAGTCATTGAACTATCACAAGAAGGCGTGCAAAATATTACCCAACTCTCTCTGGATCTTGTGTGATTCTTATTTTTCATTCTTTTCTAAATTGTACAACTTTCCTGCAATAAATACGTGTAATTTTGATAGAGAAAACAATTACCCAAAGAAAATATTTTGATCATCGGCCACGTACAGAAAATATGTTATAATTTTACGGACTAAGCACTATCCACCGTCTCTGCCTGGCCCCATGAAGCGGAAATGAGGCTGGGGTAGAAGGAAGCCAGAGCTAGAGACATGTGGGCTTATGTCTGTCGTGAAAGTCAAGTCAGGTTCAAGGCCACACACAGTGAGGTGAAGAGGCCGTGGCTGGACCCTGGGGTGCAATTCACTCACTCACTAGGTGTCTGTGGAATGTCTACTCCACAAAGTATGGTACAGTGGGAACTCTACCTCTCCAGTACAGGTACTGTAGCATCTAGAAATTAAAGGGAAAAAAGTTTTATGCCACCACTACCAAAATGATATTCAGCTTATATATATATTTTCCTACTATTGATGGAGGTTACATTTGACATCTGTTCGTTATCCCCCTGACTCAGACAAATGAGCTCAGAAGATTGTTTGGAAACTTGCTGAACAAGTCATTATAAATACACATGAAGAAGAACAAGCCTGTGGCCAGTTCATACTTGCAGTAAATCAGCAGTCTACAATCATCCTAAAAGCTTTGGGGTGTATTCTTTAAGATGTATGTGTGCCCCGGGGCCTGAACAAGGTTTATGAACTGTTCCCTAAACGATTTAGATACGGAAAAGAGTCTCACTCTCTAAATCACAGAGAATATTTGCAATCAACAATTAAAAACAGCATACTAATTTTAAAAAGTTAAATTGTATTCCTCCAGAAGCTAGAGAAAATAAAACAGGTCTAAGATTCATAAGCTGTGAGTAACTATTAGACAGCATGTCAGTGCTCGGGAGGCTTTCTATAAAGGTATACTATTTAACCAATTTACTAATCACTTTGTATTAAAATGTTACAACTAGAAACTACTCTCTGGTCTTTCAGTTAAATATCATGGACAACACATACGCCCTTATATTGGCTCCCTCCTGAAAATCTATCAAGATGACACCAGGTGAACAATTAAAAAAAAAAAAAAAAGTATAAACCCAAAGGACAAACAAGAATGTCAGAAAGTGGAAAGCAGAGAGATGGTAGGGAAGACAGAGCAAGGCACATGTTTCGCTACATCCGGTGTTAGAGGCTGTATCTGAAAAGCAATAAGCAGTAAGAAGAAATTTAGTTCTCGTGGGGCAAGAAAGACAAGAACTGGCTCCATTTATGACCAGGGTGACTGAAACCAGAGACTTGAGTGGGGCTCCACCAGCTATGGAAAGCATTTAAAACAACACCAACTAAAAAACAAAACAAAACAAAACACCAACTGGGATCAAATAAGTTTAAAATAAATATATTTAAGACACCAAAAAAATATCAAAGCTAGATTAACATTCATAAAAAAAAATGCTAAATTAGTCAACAAAAATAGGCAGAGCTGAAAGAAAAATGAGGGTATAAAAGAAAAAAATTAGAAATTCTGGAAATAAACTATACAGCTGTCCAAACAGACCTGACAAACTCTAGACTGGACATGATCGAGGATAAAAATCAGTGAATTAGAAGAGAGTGGCGGGGAAAAGGAGAAACATCTGTAACAAAAATAAATTAATAAAAATAATTTTAAAAAGAGAGTGGCAAGGAGCTCACTCAGCATGCAGCGAAGGCAGACAGAGATTCAAAGCATGAGAAGTCATTATACAACAAGGAGGGCAGATGAAGAGATGCCAACGTAAGTCAAGGCAGAGCGGGGGAGTTCCAAAAGAAGGAAATGGAGAGAATGACAGAGAAGTAATATTTGAGGTGTGAGCATTGGCGATTTCATAAAACTGGAGATAGGCATAGGTTTTAAAGTATTTCATGAATACAAAGTGGGATAAGTAAAAAGAAATGGAGCACGGTGAGATTCAGATGACCCATGAAAAAGATAAAAGCTACCAGAGACTAAAGACTGGTAATCCACCAAAGACTGAGTATAAGACAGGACTCAACAGACCTCAGAAGACATAAGATATCTTAAGATGATGGAGGAAACTCTTTTAAGAATTGAGGGAAAATAACCTATTATCCAAGAATAAGTGCAAAATACAGGTAAAGACAGTTTCAGACATACAATAAAAAATGTATCGCCCACAGCCCACGCAGAAGGAGCCACTAAAAAACGTGCTTCAGTGAGAAGAAACCCAGAAGCAAGGAGTAGGGGGCAGGGAACAATGGTGAGCACACCGAGAAAACCGGGAGAACGTGTGATGTATCAGAGTCTGAAGAAAGCAAGCTACGGTTCTATTATTCCAGACTCCTGAAGTTCTTACTTGGTATTGACTCACATTTTATCCAATTTGAACAACTTGTTTGGCTCAGTTGTTTTGTTAAAATGCTATAATCTTTTTTGAAAGTGACAGGAAGAATTTATTAGGACAGAACTTTAAAAATGTTGACTTAAATATTTAAAATATTTTAATGTATTTATTGTTAATTCTCACCCAATGATAATTTCCACTGATTTTTTTAGATTGAATGGAAGGGAGGGAGAGAGAGAGAGGATGAGAAACATTGGTGTGCGAGAGACACATTGATTGGTTGCCTCCTACACGACCCCAACCAGGGCCAGGGATCAAACCTGCAACCCAAGTACTGCCCTTGACTGGGAATTGAACTTGCATCTCTTGAGTCTGAGGGTTGATGCTCTAACTACTGAGCAAAACCAGCTAGGGCTAAAATTTTTTGTTAATATTTTGAAACAATCTGATAAACATCACAAATGAATTTTAAAATTTTCAATATTTATAATAAAGTATATATAAATTAAAATAACAATTATGTCATTGTGCTTCTGTATTGAAAATATTTTTTAATGTTCATGCCCAATGTTGAAGTTTGTAGAATAGAAGTAGGAAAAGAGATTTATAAGCTTTCTTGAGGGCAACTTGGCAGTATATACTCTAAATCTTGAAAGATGAATATATTTCTATGTACCTTTCAATCTCCGTATTAACCCCAAAGAAACAAAACTGTAAGCAAAAAAAAAATCAAACTAAATTATCCTAATCATAAGTAAAATTAAGTATTTTGCAGTAAGTTGTTTAATGTCTGTCTCCCCTGCTAGATAGAATATAAACGCCATGTAAGGAAGGATGTTATCTGCCTTTTTCATCACTAAAACCCTAGCCCCTAGCAGAGTGCCTTGCATGTAGTAGAGGCTCAATAAATATTTATGAATGAATAAATATAAGGAATATTTACTATGTGCCCTGCACTATACAAGATACTTGACATTTATTTCACTTAGTCCTCAAAATTCATCCCCAATTCACAAATGATGGTTAAAAAAAACACCACCAAATATAGACCTTTCTTTTAAATTTTGAGTTAATAACTTTTAGCAAAATATTGTTTAACTCATAAAGGGGAATCTG